GACGGTGAGAGAAATCTTCGCACTTCATTGGACAGCTAACGCCCGCTCAAGCTGGGCAGCCCCCAGCCAATAAAGTGCTGTCCCGTCCACGTTCCGCTTGACTCGTTGGGTGCATGAGGTTAAGGGCCTATCCCGAAAAGCGAACCGATAATCGACGCACCGGTGCACAACATAATGATTCGAAATTCAAAGGCCTCGCGTGACAGGTCTCTAGAAGCTCCCACACGGTTGCTTCGTTTATGCTCCCGAGTTGGATTTACGTCCCACTGTCTTGTGGGTCAGACTTTTGAGTAGAAGGCTCCGGTTAGGGTTCCCAAAGAAAAACCCCTTCATCGGTGTGGGCTACCGCGAAGTATGTCATGCCCTAAAGTTTTAGACACCCATTTAGAAAAACCTCTTCCCGATCTATCTAGTTCTTCCTCTCAATCCAGAATAACCCCAGACGCCTCCTGTCTACCATTTTACTGACTGAGATGCTAACTCGAGTCGTACTCCCAACCTGGAGAACCATTAGGCTGGACTTCGTCTGACCTCTACCTATTGACCTTCCAGGCATGATTAGATCTGCGGCTTGACAAAAGCCATCCTGTGTAGCTCGTTGGGTCAGAGAGGTGCACAAGCCATCACACCACGTCAAGATGCAGTCTCGTCGTGTTCGTTAAGGGTGCACTATCTTGCCATTTCTGTTCAGTTTTGTCGTAAACGAAATACTAGCACTAAGTGGCCATCAAAATGTTGATATTGAATAGGCAGCTGGAGAAAAGCTGTGCGATTGAGAGTATACTGTTGAGTTCGATTACATAGAGGACGTACAAAGCCCATTTGACAGGTTGACAAGTTCTGTTTATTCGTTCTGTGTGCTTTGCACTTTCAAAGTGCAAATTGATGCGACAAGACTGGGTGTGGTTTACCCTAGATTTGATGCTTGATGATCAGTAATTAATTAAAATGGATTGTTTGTCTTACTTTGGTAGATGCGTGACAAATGATGGTCGCGTAGTCAAAGAATTAACTGCATATATTTCCAAGGTACGAGCGTACTCAGAACTGAAACACCTTTAATGCAGACGCGATGTTTCTTTGGAACTAAAAGGTTGGGTATCCTGCGTCAGTTTGCGATAAGTTATGCTCTACTGTTGCGTGACCCTTAATTTGGGCTAGAGATATTCGTCATCTAGATGTCTGCGACTGTCGACGTTTACGCCTGTTTGGCGCGGGTTGGATGGAGCGGGCTTGGCAGCACTGAAGTAAGTCGTCGCGTGTTTGGCAATGATTCGGTGGAAAGTTCGTTATCACGTAGAATTCATATCATTAGGCTTCGCTTGTTAGGACATGTATTGCGCATGCCTAGTGGCGATCTACCGCATCGCGCCTTATTTGTAGTTGCGGCTTCAGGTTGGAATAAATCACGCGGGAATTAACAGATGACTTAGAAACGGTGCCGAGGAAATGTAGATGTCTCACGCCTTCCAGGTTGATCTGTAAAATACTCTCTAGCTGGTCAGTTGAAGACACTGAAGGATATGTCAGCCAACCGATTGCAGTGGTGTTCTTATTGTCAAGTCAGAATGCTTGAAAGGTCTGTATGCACAGTTGGGTTGTGCATTGTGTGTTGATAATTGAGATTCACTTTGCCACCCTCCAATTAGGCCCAATCCCTCTCCATCTTGTACATTCTCACTTACATTGTGCCATGAGCCATCGGCAAAGTTCGCTTCACTGTAACTCGCTGTACAATGATAATGATGATGTGGGAAAAGTTAAACACACAAGAAATTAACCGAGTTGAATTCCAAGAGCGCTCGTTCTGGTTGTGTAATATCACTGGTTTGGCTTCCATACTGGTGGCGTTATTCGTCAAAAGAAAATAGAGGAAGCCTGTTAAGCGATAAACGGAAACAGGACATACTTGCTGCTGTAAAGCACGAAGCAGGGTTGCAATGAACTATCGTGGATTTCAATTAAAACTGTGTTAGATGTAGCGAAAGTTTTTGTACCCAGGAACTAGACAAACACTCACTACATAATCAGGATATTTATAAGTAATAACGTTTTTGGGAGTAATATTCTGTATTTTTAGAAGAAATGCGAACAGAATAGCACTTCGAAAAAGCAGACCTATTGTTTGAGGAAGATCACCATGCTACCATAGTATATTTGGTTCAGTTGGTTAAGTAGTTCATTAAGCCACGGATTTTTCCGGTATTCACCTTTACCTGTTTGAATGTTTGCATTCTTAGTGAAAATGAATGCCGACACAACTGCGAATGAATTGAGACAACAGTTCTTCGAGTATTTCAAGAAGAAAGGTCACACTTATGTACACTCGTCATCGACCATCCCTCATAATGACCCGACTCTGTTGTTTTCCAATGCTGGAATGAATCAGGTTTGTTTCAAATCTTCCCTTATATTCACTATCTTCTGTGCAGTTCAAGCCAATCTTTCAGGGTGTGGTCGATCCCAATACTGATATGGCCCAACTGAAAAGGGTAGTGAATACACAAAAGTGCATACGTGCCGGTGGGAAGCACAACGACTTAGATGATGTTGGTCGTGATGTGTATCACCATACATTTTTCGAAATGTTAGGCAATTGGTCGTTTGGTGACTATTTCAAGAAAGAGGCCTGTAAATTTGCTTGGGAATTGCTGACACGGGTATGGAAAATTCCTGCGAAACGACTGTATGTCACTTATTTTGGAGGCAACGAATCAGCCGGTTTGCCGGTGGATGATGAAGCGCGCCAAATTTGGTTGGATTTAGGGTAAGTTCACATTTCTGTGGTGCGATTAAACTGCGTTGACCTTTGCTTCCGATTCTATGACTTGGTACTTTATTCTTGGGTTATGTTTAATATTAATATCAAAAGCTTTAGCTTTGACTCTATGTAGAGCATTCACCGCCTTTCGCTTCGCTTCGTCGATTCCACTTAGTCTTCCCAGCGTCCAGCTGTGGGCATGATGTACTTACTAGGACAACTGACACAATAATATCCACAT